AGAACATTTATATTACAAATGAAAAATACAATTAAAACAGAGGTTAGAACATCGACGTGGCACACATGCATTAGGATCATATCACTTATCTAGAATATCAATGATCATCTATATTCAACATTCTCTGAGCTATTTAAACATCTCTTTTGGATTATCAATGAGGCTTTTGAGCTATTTAAACGTCTAATTACCAACTCCTTGTTTCAAAGTGTTTTCCTATTTTCAACGTCTCATTACCAACTCTCCGTTTCCTTGTTTCAAAGTCCTTATAAAAAATGGATGCAAATCTGTTATTCGTTATCAATGAAAAGTATGTTTATTTCAATGACTTCGAACATTTTAAACCAAAGTTGAGGAAAGTTGTTGATAAACAAATGTTGAATGGTTACTTTAACATTCTACTTGGCCCCATATTCACTAACCTCGTTAAAGAGTTCTGAAGGAACGCCTCCATTGTGCCAGATAGTCATGAAGAAATCATCCAGTCCTATGTCAATGCCACTCATTTATACATTATTCCATCAATGATTACTATGACAATCAACTATGAATTGTTTGGTAGTTGTGTTGAACATTATGAATTCAATGATGTCTATGCAATCCACCTTCATCGACTTTATGCCAACAAAAATAATCTCTCTAGTCCTGCTTCTCTAAAACCAATTGCAAAATTTTGGTTTCAACTTTTAGTGGCAAATCTCCACCCAAGAGAGAGAGAGAGAGAGACCTGGAAACACTTACTTGGTATGACAAGCATCTCTTGTTATTTCTCACCCACAACATGAGAGTTAATCTTCCTCTTACCATTTTCAACTTCTTGAAGGAAATGATAAAGACTTCTCGTGAGGAAACGACTCTTCTCATACCTTATGGAAGAGTTCTTTCTGAACTTTTCTATAAGTTAGAGATAGTTATGGGTGATGTTAAAGTTGAATGGACTGAGAAATTTGAATTTATTTAGTAGTTTTCTTTGTTCTGTTGTTTTTTTATTATCAATGGAATATTTCCTTCTTCTATTATTGCCTATTTTTGTTAAACAAAAAAAAAAACATGGCATCTGGAAAAGTTTTAAATGCGGCAAGTGGGATTCAAAGCGAGGTTCCTTATAGTTATATTACCTGGTTCTTAAGAAAACCATGATAACATGTTTATTAGTTTTTTTGTGGAAAAAATAGGCGCTAACTTATAGGTGTGTTACCTCAGTTTTTTATAACGCCGACGTAACATGATGTTTATCTTATTAAAAAATAAAACATTATGCTCCCAGAACATATCCTCTCTGTTTTTAGCATGTTAGAGATGAAGTCTTCGTCATAAAAATCATTATTTGTTGTAGTGCATTTTGTTTGTTGTATCCATTTCGGTTCGAATACACGTGTTGTTAGGGCGACCATTTTTCTTCCTTTGCATATGATCATTGTGTCAAATAATACCCCCTTGATAAGTAGGTCAACAATCCTCCTTTTCTACCAAAAAGAAGCTATTATTGTACATACTCAATACGTTTATCACTTTGTAAGCGGGGGATAGATGTTTGGAAGGGTCATAGTGAGCATGTGAACATGCCGCTATGACATGGGAACAAGGCATACGAAAGGCTTGAAACTTTCCATAATCACACCAACCTCTATCTAATTTGACCTGATAATATCCTCTTGTCCTCCATTGATTATTGTTAATTGTCTCCTTTACACTGAACCAACATTTAATATGGTCAAACATTATAACCCCATGTGTGTCAACTTTGGCAGTTTCCTCGTGAATACATTTCATAGAGCTTTCACTAAACAACTTCCATGATTGTAAGACTGACCTCTATTTTTAACCTCTAATCTCGAACAATGACCCCAACCTAAAATAGGTTGCTCTCACCAATGCAGTTATTAGTAGGTTTTTGATGCCTTTCGAAGACAAAGTTCACTGACTCCACAATATTTGTTGTCATGTGACCCCATTGTTGACCATTGTTAAATGCCCTAGTCCACTTCTCCATTAGAATATTATTGATCCACCTTAACACATTCGTATTTGTCAACCTGATCTCTCTGTGGTAGTGTTGGAATGATGGTTCTGTTAAGGCATACCATGTATTCATAACTTTTTTTCGAAGCGTCTTGTCCTTGATCTCCCGCATGAAGTTTGAGCAATATATCTAATTCAGTAGACAAACGTAGAAAGATGGTATTGCCAATGATTATTAATATTATTGTAAGCACTATTAATAGATCGATGTATGTTTGAAATCAAACACAGGTTGGGTTTCAGCGCAACGTGTAACCAAAGATGCTTGAGAAAGAAACTCCAGCCACCAACGGTCTCACCTTTAGTCATAGCAAAGGCAAATGGAAAATATTACAGTTGCTATCTTATACCACTGCCATGAGTAACGTTCCTTTATATTTCCCGTGAAACCATGTTCCATCAATCTATATAATAGGTTTATAGAATGTAAAACCTTTGATGCATGGTTCGTATGCCCAGAACAGTCGATGGAATATTCTATTTCCACTCACATAAGTTCTATCTGGGGAAAATGCTTGGAGTGCCTCTAAAACTGCAATAGTTCCTGGAGCATAATAGTTAAGTTCCACCAAATATTTTGGAAGTTCTTTGTACGAATCCTCCCAATTTTCGTATACTAGTTCAATGACTTTAGTCCTTGCTATTCATGCCTTCCTGTAAGAAGACGTATAATTGAATTATGTAACGATATGGAAGATTCTTGTAATCATCTTTAATGATGGATCCTTGCTAATAAGAGGCGAGATTTTTTGGCATATTAATTGAGAGTCACGTTTCCGATGATCATGCATCAGATTGGTGGTAATGCAAGTGTGAGGTGGATCAATAGAACTATCTCATAACAATCATTTCTCTTATTGTAAGATGTTGATAGCTGAAACATGCATATCAGTGTTTGATGACACAAAATGATGTACCTCCCCGAAATAGTGCGATCTACAATATAATCCGTTGAGATTTCAATGTGAAACTTTTTTTATAGATCTCACATAGTCTTCTTTTGTACGAAATTTGTCTCCAACTTTTAACGGTCCCCCCCGTCTACATATACGACTTGTAAGAGATATCTGAGGTTGATTCATCTTCTTGCAAGTTCGAGTTTGTCATGTGATCAAGAGGAAAACACACATGGCTCGAAGGTAATGGCTCATTGGCCCCAAAGATGCTGCAGTTTGGACAACAAAAACAACAATCATTTGGTTCACTACTGTGGAGATGCAACAGAGTGACTGTGTAAAACTAAAGTTCAACATGAACCAACAAATCCTAGATCCTCCGACGTGTTTGGGAGAATGGCATCAACTAAGAGTTGATGCCCAATAGAATTATAGAGATTGGAGAGACTTTACCATGTCATCAATGGAAGCACCGACATCAATTGACCATAAACAAACCAATCATGCCAGAGGATGCTGGAACAACTCAAAATTATATGAATTAATATAGATTAGCTACAACATCATTGTTTCTATCTGACCCGAGATATTTGATTGACTCACTCCAACGAGCTTCATCATTATACGCCAAACAACTGACCCCACAACATTACCAAACCCAATAACATTGTCAACCCACTGAAACCCAACAACCAACCCCACAACATTACGAAACCACATACACCCAAACCTGCGACCAATTCATGCCACACACCCAAACACAAAACCAAAAGCATGACTGATACCACCACCAAACATATATTGCCACCACATCTTACCACAACATCGATGACACATATGATACCACCACATCCTACCATAACACTCAACCAATGTACAACCAAACATCGCGCCACCAAAGCACCCAAACATCACACCGCCAAAGCATCCAATCAACATACATCTTTCAAACACCACGAGAATCATTGCTTCGTTTTCAAAATGGTTCAATGTCCCAATTCAACCAATCAGGTTGTCCACACGTAACTCAACTATGACAACATGGGCAACAAACTTGATTACGGCATCGCCGACTATTGAAGAAATATGATTGACAATTTGTTAGATAACACTAATATTCCAAGACACTCGCACCAAACACCTCAGACTCAGGCGAATACTAGGAGACCCGAAATACCATAGAGAAATCGTGTGAGGCCTCGAAGACAATCGCATGAACTGCCATGTGGAACCGATAAGTGTTTAGATCGAGTAGGTCATTAAAATTCTCTCTAATTGTTGGAATAATATTTTAATTTAATTTTTTCTATTAAATATATTTTTTTTGTTGTTAAAATAATTAAAAATAAAATAATCAAAACAACATAGGAATTACTAGGAATGGATGCATGCTCCTAATACTTACATATATGCATCATTATTATTGACATGACTTATGATCACGCGCCACATACAATAGTACCTAAGGCCAAATCCTCTATCGTACGAATTTTATATTATTTAAAAAATAGTTAGTTTAAAAAATATTTTGAAAATGTAGTTATTCAGTATTTCTTTTGAAAAAAAATCTATATCTATATAACATTTCATTATAAATTTATCAAACAAAAATCTTTAAAATATATTGGTATACTCTTTTAAAATCTTAAAAATTTATTATCAAAATAGTTTTTAAAATCTCAATCAAAACCGTTTATTTCTTTTACATGGTGAGTAGTAATTGAGTCCTTTCTTTTTCCTTTAACCTAGCAGCCACCACCTGCCACTGTAATTCAAGCACGCTCCCACCGCTGGTTCGTATTCTGATTAATTAATTCCTTCTTCTCCGTCCTGATTTTCACGCTTCCCTGTTATAGCGGGCTAGAAACTCCGTGGCGGCACCTATATTCGTCACCTAGCTTCTAGTTTATATACAATTCAATTAATATTTTGTATTGTTGTAATTGTAGTTTCGTTTTGCGATTCACTTTGTTAGAGATTTTGTTTTATTGCTTTTGATTTATGCTTGAGAATTTCAAAGTTTGCTTGTGTGTTTTTTATAATAGGATTTGGCTCTTTTCATACCCTAAGTTTTAAGAAACAATGGGCAAGCCTAATGCAAGGTTAATCACTTTTCTCCTTTCAAAGTTAAAGTTGCTTTCTTTTTTATTGCTTCCAGTTTTTGCAAACTCAGGTTGAATTTTTTATATGCACAGGTCAGATGCATCAGAATCAAAGTTGCATCTCAAGTTCGATAAGAAGGAACTATTTTATGCCAGTAAGTTTCGTGATCAATTTCTCCGCTAGAATTACTACATTATAATTTTGGGTTCGGGAACGCCACTTTTGCGCTGCGAGCCAGTTAGGGTTCGGGGCGCCACTTTTGGGCTGTGTAGCGATTGTAGCTGCGGCTAATTGCAGCACCAAACTGCTATCAAACCATTGTCATGTCCTTCCTACTTTTGATTAAGTTTTTTTATGTTTTCTTTCTTGGTTTGAGTTTTATTGCTCCATATGTTAAGTTCTTTAATTATTAACTATGATGGTCTGTTTAATTTTATGTATTTTCTATTTTGAGTATATACATTTACTTTGTACGCTGATTTTTAGTCTTTCAATTAACTGGTATAGCATTTTTGGGGGTGTTACTCGATGCTATCTGTGATCAACAACATAGCTTTTCCTAATGATACATTCTGCGTTTTGCAGTTGTAATAAAATACCCAACAGTTAAACATAGCTTTTCCTAATGATGCATTCTGTTTTATTCACGTGTATAAAAAGTTTATAGTTTGATGCATCTTAATATAACATACCTGTCTAGATTTTAACTCCCTTGCAACCCCTGCTGTTATTGCAGAGGTGAAATATTCCGCCGCTTCTTTGGCTGCTCAAAAGTCTATTGCTAAGGTGAGAATTTCATTTTCAGTGTTTATAGTTAATGGCTAGTTAACTGTATTATACTCATGCTGGTTATTCTAAATCAATACAATTGATTTTGAAATGTTATTGTGTTCCCGTTCACATTGGATCCTTTTCTGCTCTGGTACTTTCTTTACTCGAGTTTGTTATGGTTCCCAACAGTTTAGATTAGGGGTTGGCATTTGTCATGATTAGTACTTGTCTGACTGCTCTGATAGTCATACCTGGATGCTCATGTGATTTTGTTGCTGACAATAATATTAAAATCTAGGAGATTTCTCAGTTTCATTTTGTAAAGCATGTATTTGCTACCCAAGTGTAAAGGTTGATGAATTATTGTGTGTGATTGATGCATTAAAATAAGAAAATCTTGGAGCTCCGGTTTAATATTTAATTACAATTCACTTGGTAGAATTAATACTAACTTGGAGTTCCAAAGTAGCATACGATTTTCTCTTGTCCTTTAAAAGAAAACCAGTGACATGGTAAACTCGTGATGATATCCAGACCGATGCTTTACTTTATATGTATTTAGAGGCAACGATGATAAAAAATTTCAAGTGCTTGCGATTATTTTAAAGAACCTTGCAATGATTACAAGTTTTTAAATATTAGCCTTTTGTGTAAGTTGAAATTAGATTATGCATCTCAATTAGCCTTTCAGAAGCTCTCATTTAATTTGTCCATAAGCACTGACAAACATATGTTAGACTTCTTATAATGTCAGTTTTGGGAGTTATTTTATCATTTGTACTGTTTAATTTTAGGAATAAATAGAGATAGGAAAGGAGAAACCAATTATGGAATATTTATTGAGTGATTTTGGGTGGGAGAGACCGAATTCTCGAAATCTTGGAAGGCAGAGACCAAGACTCTGGAATTTCTTGGATATGAATTGCTTTATATCTATTCGATATTTGTCTCTCTAAACTTTCTCTGGAGTACTGGTGTGTTAAATTTGTATTCATAATATAAACTTTTTCTAGGCAAATTTCGCAGAGGATTGTTCTATCATTTTTGTTTCCATTTCTTTAATTCATTCAACATATAGGGACCTTTTCAGAATTGAAGAATTATAACTTCATGTTATTTGAAAAACTCCCACGAGTTAAGAGCTAATCCAAACTAGATAGAACATACAAATCATTTTGAAGATTTGTGAATCTAAACTAGAACATACTAATTATTTTGAAGATTTATGGACAAACTGCTGCATTTTATACTAACTGAAAGTTCTTTTAGATATTTATGCTCCTTTCATTTTATGTGCAAAACATGAGTGTTAATGATTTTGTGAAAAATGTTGTATTCTGTCAGAAGAAGAGTAAACAAGAAAGGCGACAGGAAAAGAAATTGAAGGCATATAGCCTCTCTTCTCTTTTAGAAACCCTTCCGGAGTTGAAGGAACAGTTGAAGGCACCACTGAAACCACAAGAGGCTAACTTCAAGCTTAATTGTAAAAATAGACAGAAATTAGTGTAAGTGTTTCCTATCATAATTCAATAATTTTATTGGCAACTTTCCATTTGATATGTAAAATAGTATTTGTAATCCTTATTAATTATTCAACAGATTGGAAGAAGGAAAAAATTTGTCTGAGATTTTTAAGAATCATTCCTTCCAAACGAATCCCTTAGCTGCCATTCATCAACACTTAAGGAACAAACAACCAGTACCAGTAGTAGAGGAACAACAACCCAAGAAAAAAGCAAATGTAAATGGGTCGAGAAAGAGGAAGATGAAGAAAGCTCGGGCTGGAGTGCAGTCTATGGATATGCTATAATGGTGTCTTTTTCTCAAGATCTTTATATAATTGTATTACTTCTGGGAAGCATTACAGTACTTAACTAGTGAATGAAGACATCTTAAATTTATTATCCAGAATGTATAGCAACGTCCATGGTAGTTGGTAGCTGATTTTTATATCAGTATGAATTGAACAGGCATGACTCTACTTGCTGATCATAGCTAGTGTATGAAACTATTCATTTATATAATCAATTTTTAATGAACGTTCATGGATTCTTCATAAAAAGAAAATATAAGAAAGTTAGAATTGTGACTAATGATTAACATTGATTGTGGCGTATACGGCGTCAAATTCATGTTTGATTATTTGTACACAACTTACAATGTTCAGAAAATGGGAAAGCTGTCTGTGATTTGAAAAGCTTATTGTAGTATGAATTATTGAGGCTAATATTTGTTGAAAATTTAGCTAGGATCATGTAATGCTTCCTTGCAATGAGATAACAACATAACATGATACAAAAATTGAACACTGGCTTTGGATTCAGCCATCTAAAGCTCTCATTACTAAAACCTTTTCGGATCAATTATGCAAATTATTTTCACCAATACAAATATTACAACAAAATACTGATAAAAATGTTACTTGAAAAATGAAATATCATTTGGAACTTGAGAATTTACAGAATCGGTCTAAATTTGTGATCAGTTCTCTGAGGCTGACTGGAAGATGAAAACTGCTGTCAAGACACCCACCAGTCCTGTTACGGCCAGGGCAACTGTAGGCAGTGGACTTGTGAGTCCAAAGTTCTGCAAAATGAAAGTAGAAGAATCTTGTTATTCTTTTGCAACTCTGCTAATAATAGAGTGGTAGAAGAGGTTGAGATAAGTAAGCAGTAGAAAAATAGAAGATTCTACTTACTTTAGATCCATAAAAAGTTTTATGAACCTAAATGCTTAATCCTTACATATACCAACTGAATAGCTTAAAAGATCATGCACAAAAGATACATAGCTTAATTTTACAACTAGATACCATAAACACTATAAACCTTAAAGTAAAGGAAAAAGACACAAGCCAATTATCAATCATTTGATGAAAATTATAATGTTACATGGCTCAGAAAATGGAGATAAATGATTCCAGTCTTGGTCAGGGTGTGTAAAACATACCTCTAGAAGTCCTTTTCCAGATGTAATTTCAACAGTAATGGCAACAGCAAAGCCAACCATGGCTACCCGACCCAGCCATACATCCAAACCGTTCCCATCCTTAGTGTTTTGTTCACATCTTATCGAAACTGGCATTGCTCTATATGCTGACTTTCTTCCATGATTTTTCCTAATCACTTCAAACAAGTAAAAAAAAACTACTTAACCTCATAATTTAAAACATACAAACTATACAAAAAACTTCATCTCATTGGACAAGAATTCTTACTTAGAGGGGAGCCAGTGACGAAGGATGCTCGAACTGGAGCCAAACAGGATTTAGAAAACTTCGCAGAGGCTGCAGGGGAGTTTCTTGTGGCGAAAACACGAGCATCTGCAACATAATTATCAGAGGAACTTGAGAATTGAGAATGTCCAAAAGAATGTAGAAGAAAGAGAGAGATGGGTTACCGCGAAGAGAGACGGAAAGAGAAGCAGAAGGTGGAGCTTGAGCAAGTGCCATGGATTGGATTTGATGGTGAAGTTTCTGTAATGAACAATGGAATTGCAAGATTGTAGTATCTGTTATCTCTTTCTATTTTGTTTTCAATTAAGTGATGATGAAACCGTGGCCATTCGTATTTCTCACTCATCAATGCCTACGTGGCTTCTTTTGTGTTTTGCTTTTTCTTATGGAATCAATGAACAACAAAATATCTTTTACTTAAGAAATTAAATAATAGGAAAATATCTTAAAGTAAATCTTTAATCTCCTCTCTTTTTATATTATACTCTCAATTTTTTTGTTAAATATTTTAGTTCATTTTAATGTATTTAAATTTGTAACAAAGTTTTTCTTTCTATAATTAACATATATTTTATATTCATATCATAAACTATGACTTAATACAAGATAAAATACATATTGGAAAATTAATAAAGGGATAAAATTTCTTATCTAAAATTTAATTTATATTATAAAATCATAAAATTAATAATATTTTTTTAAAGTTATTTATTATGGACAATGAAAATTGAACTTGTCAAAAAGTATATACTACCCCTATGTTAGCAGTGGTGCTCAGAGGCCTCAATAGTTTTCTGGTAATTTAGAGCTTGAGCGTGATGGCGTGAGACTTTGTTTGGTGGTGTTTACGATAATTAGAGAGCAAACTCACTTGATGTGAGAAACTTTATAACTTTTGGAGTATTTCTCGTGTATCACAATTTGTCCTCCTCAACTCTAAGATTGGGGTATTTATAGGAGCTTTGGGCTTGGATTTTTTTTTTTTAAAGAACGATAACCAACCACTTAGTCAATGGTGGATCGTTGAATTCTTATTTTTTAAGGAGACGTGGATTACTCTGCTGACTTCCCTCTAACCAAGGAACATCTTTTCTGATGTTTTCCACGACTAAGCGAGTAGAGCACACTTAAGGGGAGATGGTCCCTGGCCGCATGCAGGATATGTGATTTCCTTTCAAGGGTGATTGCCATCCTCTCGGCCTAGATAGGCATTTTACAAATATATCACTACACAATCCCTCAAGTGCAAGAGTTTTGATAAAAGGCGAAGTGCTTTAATCGACGAAGCATCGGGGGCCTCCTCCTGACGAGACCCTAAGTATCCAAAGCAAGGTTATATATTGATCCTGTTTAAGGAGGATCCAAGTCCCTCAAGCGAGGCTTTCATCCCATTGGACAAGACTTTGATCAAATCCTCAACAAGATTTTAAGTTTAGTTGCTTGAGCAAAACTTCAGTCGCGTCCCATGGGAGAGACTATAAGTTGGAGCTCATTTGACGCGACATCAAGTCCCTTAGGTGAGGAGTCTAGATGAGAATGTTTGATGGTAATTTAAGTCTCTTAGACGAAATTATATGTTGAACTTTTCTGATGGGACTCCAAGTCTGTCAGGCGAGGCTTTGAGCCCCTTGGGTGAGACTTTGATCAAGCCCTTATATAAGACTTTAAGTTAAGTCTCTAGGGAAAGACTTCAGTTTTATCCCTTGGGTGATAATTTAGATTGAACCTCGTATGAGGCAACATCAAGTCCTCACAAGAGGCATTTAACTGAGTTTGTTTGATAGGACTTTAAGTCCCTCGGGTGAAATTATATGTTGAACTTGTCTTATGGGACTTCAAATTTGTCACGCGAGGCTTTGATCTCCTTGGGTAAGAATACAATCAATCCTTAGACAAGACTTTATGTTAAATCTCTTGGGCAATACTTTAGTCGTGTCTCTTGGACGAGACTTCATATTGGACCTCGTTTGAGGTGACATCAAGTTCCTCAAGAGAGGTGTTTAACTTAGCTTGTTTGACGGGACTCTAAGTCCCTTAGGAGAAATTATATGTTGAGCATGTTTGAAGGAACTCCAATTCCCTTAGGTGAGGCTTAGAGTCTCTTGGATAAAACTTTGATCAAACTCTTAGACAAAACTTTAAGTTAAGTCTCCCGGGCAAGAATTTAGAGTAGACCTTGCCTGAGGTGACCTCAATCCCCTAAAGCAAGATGTTTATCTAAGCTTGTTTGATGGGTATATAAGTCCCTTAAATGACATTATATATTGATCCTATCTGATGGAACTCTAAGTTCGTCAGGCAAGGATTTGAGACCCTTGGGCGGGACTTTGATCAAGTCCTCAGGCAAGACTTTATGTTAAGTCTCTTGGACAAGAATTAATCGTGTACTTTGGGCGAGACTTCAGATTGGACCTTGTTTGAGGCGACCTCAAGTCCCTTAGGCGAGGCATTTAAATGATCTTATTTTATGGGACTCTAAGTCCTTCAGAATAAATTATATGTTGAGCTTGTCTGATGGGACTCCATGTCCTTCATATGAAGCTTCGAGCCCCTTGGGCGGGACTTCAATCAAGCCCTCAGACAATACTTTAAGTTAAGTATCTTGGTAAAGACTTCAGTCGCGTCCCTTAGGAGAGACTTTAAATTTGATCTCATATGAGGAGAAATCTAGTCCCTCAGAAAAGTCATTTAGATGAGCCTGTTTGATGGGAATCTAAGTCCCTCATGTGAAATTATATGTTGAGCCTATCTGATGGGACTCCGTGTATGTCAGGCAAAGTTTTAAGCCCCTTTGATGGGACTTCGATCAAGCATTTAGATAAAACTTTAAGTTAAATCTCTTGGGCTAGACTTCAGTCGCGTCCCTTGGGTGAGACTTCATATTCGACGTTATCTAAGGTGACATCAAGTCCTTTAGGCGAGGCGTTTAGTTGATCCTTTTTTATGGGACTTTAAGTCTATCAGGTGAAATTATATGTTGAGCCTATTTGACGGGACTCCAAGTTCGCCAGGTGAGGCTTTGAGCCCTTTGGATGGAACTTCGATCAAGCCCTCAGACAAGACTTTAAGTTTAGTCTCTTGTGAAAGCACAAATTATCTTGTGGTATCTTTTATGTGCTTTAAGTATTTGTGTTTTGATGTTTCTGTCAATTTTATTATTGACTGATAGTATTTCATATTTGTAATTTGAATAAGATTATATTCGTGTTCATTTTAGGCTTTTATCATTTGAACTTATATTAATCTCTTCGGCTATTGATATTAGTTCGTGCCACTGAGAACCCTCCACATTTCAATAATGATATTCACTTGATTCTTGATTGACATTTCCTTTTTGAGCCCGTGTAATTACTATTTTGTCATTTCCACAGTAGCTTGAATAACAAGTTATTAAATTTGTGATGTTTTGGCACTTGATTTGAATCATGTATTCTTTCTGATTCAAATCACTCACCTTCTAATTTTGGAAAAAGTTTATGGACAAATTGATTCGAATCATGTTTTCTTCTTAATTCGAATCATAGCCTCATTTGATTTTAATCATGTGTTACTTTTTTTATTCAAAACATGAGCTTTGAAAATTCCCCTTTAGGGCCTGCCCGGATTGATTTAAATCATATTTCCTTCTTAATTCAAATCACATTTTAAAAACTCTAATTTTCCATCTCTTATATAAATAGTTGTTTCTTTTAGTGAAAGTAACAAGTGTGAAACCTATGGAAATACCCATAGATACAAAATGTGATTTAGTCTTCTATTGTTTGTGTGTCCATCTCAATTATTATGATTCTTTCTCTTCTTTACCATTACACCTTCTTGACCATGAACTCATTATTGAATTCATTCTTTTTGTTGTATTTGTTTCTTGTGTAATTTGTTGTGGTGTTTGAGTGAATTAGATATGGGGAGTTAATTAATATTGTGTGTGTGATCGGTGGATCTGGAACTGACTGTTTAACGCTGGTTCGCGAAATGTCGCGGAAGCAAGAGTCGCCACCGTCTTTTATTTTCTCCAAATGGAAAGGACAAAAGCACAGAAAAATTCCTTATAGAGATTGCTCTCGGTTCGGGAGGTAGATTTATAGAAAGGGAAGGTGTTAGCACCCTTTCTATCCATGGTTATCCATGGGCTCTTAGATACTTGCTCATCTGTGTTTTCAAAATGTTTGTTTGCTTTTCAACTGTGGGTTTTAAAAAGTTTCTTTGAAAATTCCAGTTAAACTCTTGTATTGGTCCTCAAGAGTGTTTGAAAAGTTGCTTTCGAAAGCTTTTTGAAAAGGTGTCGGTGTGAAAAGTATTTTTGATTTGTTTTGAAATTAGAGCAAGTATCTAGAGTCGTCTACCTACCCTAAGGAATTCGTCTGTGTAAATGTCCTTAAAGTAGTGCCATCCCACCATTGAGAGGTAGGTAGCACCACCGTTGGAGGTGTTCGGGTCAATTCGAAGGTTCGGGACATGGTGATCACCGGAGCAATGGGAAGACACCTTAGAAGCTACCCTCATGCCAGGTTCCTGGATCATGAGGACTTACTAAAACATCCTCTACTCGACGATCACCTTTCGAGGGGCAAGGCAACAGTGAGGCGTACCCTAGGGGTGGTGTGTGATTTGTGTGTCGTTTTCAGATATTTTGTCTTGTCGTGTATTGGTGATCTACGCGTTGCTTTTATTTTGACATTCATTCTTGCATGCAAATTTATTAACAGTTAAAAAGATGCGGAAATTAAAAGTTCCTACGCTATTACAAAGGCGCGGGTCCACATCGCCAAATTTAATCCAGGACCCGATTTGAAATAAAATAAAGAATGCGGAAAAGATAAATATCTAATTATTCTATTACACGGCTTTGGGAGAATTACATGAATATAGGAAATAAAATGAAAATGCGAGAATAAGTAAAATCGGGAATGCGAGGGCGTTGGACCCTTTTTTAGGAAATTAAATTATAATTAACAAATTAAGTTAAATGAGAAAAGGAATTATTTTTGAGTCTTTCGTATTTAGTGATTTTAATGAGAGAATTAAATGAAATTAAAAAAATTAATTAACCCTAATTCTAACTATTTTTATTTATTAAGAAAATGTGAAAATTAAACCTAAAGTTAACCTAATTAATTAATTCAATTTTATTTACAAAAATAAATAATTAGTTATTAATAGTGATAAAAGAAAAGAAAAAAAAGATAAAAGTGATTAAAACCCTAATTCTACAATTT